ATATTATATAAATATATTTATATAACTTAATATATATGATGTATAGAATATAATTGAATAGAATAATACACATCTGAACTGCCCAAAGCTCCACGTTTTATGATCTCTTTGCTCACTTCCATCCTTCTACTCATTTGCTACCATTTAATGCTTTAGGTCAGTATGGAAAACTCAAAGTTGTATTTTCTGTATCAAAAGGGACCTGAGACAGTTCCAAACAAAATAAACAAATGCCTTAAACAGACCAGAATTCCCCAGTCTGTGATCCTGGAGTTTTTATTTATTCTGAGGAATCACATCCCACTTTTCTCAACACTGATGAGCAGCAGGATTAAGGCAAAAAAAAAAAGAAAAACTTTCTTTTGAAAGAAGTCACCAGGTTATCAGAGCACAGGTTTTCTTCTACACAGCACAGACTGAGGCCACAAAATAAGTAAAATCATCGAGGCACTGCTGGTCCCAGGTGACAATTCCCACTTGGCTGGGCAGGGAACAGAACCCAGGCAAACAGGGAAAGAACTTAAATTACTCACTGGGAAAGAAATCTGATGGATGGCCCCCAAATCTCACTGTTTTCCCTTTCACTCGGCTCAGGAAGCAAATCTCTGTTTAAAACTCTCCTTTTCCTAAGGAGTTTCTGATAAAGCTCTTAACACTGAGAGGTTGGTGAGGCACCACTTCGAGTCCTGGGGCAGGTCTGGGGGCTCCAGGACAGGACATGGGGAATGGTTGGACTTGATGCTCTTAAAGGTCTTTTCCAACCTTAAAGATTCTGTGATTCTAAACATCAGCTGGGCTGGAAAAGGTTCACAACCAGCAAAGACAGCACCATGTTTTACTATAAATGCACATAACCAGCACACAGAGGCAGCAAGAAATCCAAATAAATAAACCCTTGGAGCAGAAACATGGGATTTGGCTGTCAAACATTTGGGTGTGAAGCTCTCAAAGGGGTGATGAAGAGCAGCAGCTCCACATCCACCTTTGCCCCCTGGATTTGTCACCACCACCCAGAGCTGTGGCACCTTGCACAGCTCTAAGAGTTTGGGAAATGGTGTTTGCAGAGCACAAAATTTGGACAGTCTGAGAACCCCAAGACAACCCAACCCCCAAAGATTAATATTTTAACAGTATTTGATAATATTTACATGATGTTTTATCCCAGCATCTCCTGGCCCAGCAACGAGAGCTTATTTTAGGGGCTGAAGGACTGAAGAGCAGAGAAGCGACAAACAGGATTTGATCTCAACCTCTGCTTTTCAAGTGAGCTGTTCAGAGCAAACCCAGCAAGAGACAAAGGCCTGTCCCAGCACTGTCCCAGCACTGTCCCAGCCAGCAGGAGTGTTCCCTGACAGGTTCTGCTCTGGGTTCTGCTCTGCTGCTTCGGGCACTTACGTTCCACCTGAATTCCGTCGGGGTGGGCTTTGCCCCTGGGCTCCTGGCTCCCGGGCTTGGCCTCGTCCTCGTCATCCAGCAGTGGCACATAGTCTGTTTTATCCACCGTCTCCCCAACCACATCATCGAATTTCTCTGCCTCCAGCGTGGCAATGAAGTCCCTTTTCACCTCCTCCTCGATCTCGTGGGGCGGCTCCGTCAGAGCGTCCGCCAGGCTGAGGTTGTGCTCCAGCTCAGCCATTGCAGCACCTCTGCAACCTGCAAAACCACCTGGGGAGGGAGGAAGAGAAGCAAACACCTTAATGAGAGACCTCTCATGGTTACCCCGTTTGTGCTGCCCAGGCTGTGCCCTCACACTTTGGTGCTCAGTAACTCCCAGATGTTCATTAACCCCCCACACTGGCACAGAAACAGCTGGGTCACCCAAATCAGGGTTCAGCTCCATTTCAGGGGGTGTTTTATCAGAGTAACCTTCAATAAAAACTGTTAAAAAATCCAACCTGGTCAGAATAACCCTGGTGTGACCTTGGTTTGTGCCCTGCCCCAGAGCTCAGAGTTAATTACACACGCAAGAGAATTTAGTTCTGGGGCTGACTCCACCCAGCCTCCCCTATGGAGATTAGGATTTTCCATAATCCCTGATGTATATATACTGCAGTGAGGCTTCTGATCCCCTTGAGAGGGTCCTGCAGCATGTTTATGTCCTCAGCAAACCTCGCTAATACCACCAAACCCCCTCCAGCCCCGGGATTTGGGCTCGAAATCGGCATTTTAATAACGTTTACATGAAAAAACACAGCAAAGAGCACACGTAGGCATTATATCCACAGCTATGAATTGGAAATGAAGGGGAAATAATCACCCTTTCCCTCCCTGATTTGCATCCCAGCATTCGATTTAATTCCTGGCAGCCAACAGAAAATGCACCTGAGCTGACTCATCTCAACCCTCCAGGTTGGCACAACACACACCCAGCACCAAGCACTTATTTTTTTCATGTTTCGTCCTTTTGAGGTTATTTTTGGGAACAACAGCCAGCGAAAACTGCTGGGAATTTAAGGAGAGCTGTCTAAGGGAGCAAAGCCACCACTCTGGAGTGAGAAAAGGCCCTTTTTGCCACGTTCTCTCAGAGCAGAGTCAGTCAGAGCTGCTGAAGAGTCAAAGGGATCAACAGCTCCATCTGCAGAAACTGTCTGCTGCAAACTGGAAAAACCCCAAACCAGAAAGGGCCAAGAGTATCCAAACTGGTGTGTTTCCAGCTCCTACTGTGGGAGCTCAGCTTCCTTGGATTTTGGTCGGGGTTTGGAAGTGCAAAGGGATTTGATGCTGCTCTCACTGATGCACAGACTGTGCAGAGACTCTCCCTGGAATGACTGACTCTCCCTCAGGAGTCCAGTGAGCCAATGCAGCAGTGCCTGGTTGGGAATTATTAGGGAACAAGAACATGGCAGTGAAGTTTAGAGTTCCAACAACAAAAAAGAAAGATATGAAGGAGCTCAGGGAAAGTGATTCAGCATCTCAGAATCAATTCTCACTATACTGAAACAAGAACCACCAAGCCACACCAGAATTCCAGAATGGTTTGTGTGGGAAGGGACCTTAAGGATCACCCAGTTCCACCCCTGCCATGGGCAGGGACACCTTCCACCAGCCCAGGTTGCTCCAACCTGGTCTTGGACACTTCCAGGGATCCAGGGGCAGCCACAGCTTCTCTGGGCAACCTGTGCCAGGGCCTCCCCACCCTCACAGCCAGGAATTCCTTCCCAATATCCCATCTCTCCCTGCCCTCTGGCAGTGGGAAGCCATTCCCTGTGTCCTGTCCCTCCATCCCTTGTCCCCAGTCCCTCTCCAGCTCTCCTGGAGCCCCTTTAGGCCCTGCCAGGGGCTCTCAGCTCTCCCTGGAGCCTTCTCTTCTCCAGGGGAACCCCCCCAGCTCTCCCAGCCTGGCTCCAGAGCAGAGGGGCTCCAGCCTCTCCTCAGGAGGACCTGGAGCTGAGGACACAGCCCTGGAGCCAGGACAAGGCACAGCCACAGCCCAAGGAAACACAAGGGGCACTTGTGTGTTGGTTAATGAGGGGTGACCCAAGTGGCCACTGTGCAGCAGCCCAGGGTCACTGACTTCCATGGGGGGGCAGAACACAGACCCTCTTGTTCCACAGGAACAAAGGCTCCTACTCCTTGAACTCCAGGAAATTCTTTGTCAGCAGTACAGGGCCATGGACACAGACACCACATACCTACAGCTCCAGCCCCTCCAGGGCACTCACATTCCTCAGGGACAATGGGATCCCACTGCCAGTGCTGTCTCTGTAATTCCAGGCAAGTATATTATGGAAACTAATTCAGTTAAAACTCTCCTTTTTCATTCTGAGAACAATAAAAGGTCAGACTTGCAGCCAGATCACACTTCAGGCAGCAACTGCACTTTTTGTTGGTTTAGATAAAGGCCTTGAATCACCACTTGGAATTCTTCAGAGGTGAAAGGTTTGGAGCTTTTAATCCCCTGTGTGGGGTCACAGCTGAGTGAATTATGGTTGGTAAAAATGCTGGGTTTACACTTAAACGATAGAGCCTTATGAAAAAAAAGTTTCTTTTGGAGTTCTTGACTGTTTTCAAGACAAACCATCAGCCAGATGTGCCCCCAGCTGGCCACATTACCCTGCAGGGAGCATCAGCCAGGGGAGCCACTGCCAGGAGTTTTATGTGTGCATTGCAAAGGCTCTCCCAAGGCAGAAATGGGGCTCAGAAATGGCCAGTTCTCATCACTGAGTCCAGCTGTCCCCCAGCACTGCCCCACGGCCCCAGGCTGCCTCTGGAAAACACAGGAATAGAGACCACAGCCAGAAAATCCAGAACACCCCAAAAACCTGGGGAACAAACCAGCAAAGGCTGCAGTGAACACACCTCACCCAGCCTGCCTGACTCACTGGGCAGTGTTTAGGCAGCCCAGAAATTATTCAGTCCTGAGATATCCAGGCACTTTCTGTCCAGCCCTAAACAACAGTTGGACTGGATGATCTCAGAGGTCTTTGCCAACCTTAATGATTCCATGATTAACTGCACTATAATTAATGGAGTAAATGCCTCCAGAGCCCTGGTGGCAGCAGGAGCTGCTTCCCTTACTCCATGTGAGCAGGAAGCAGTCAGGAATTCTTAAACCCAAATCAAGGCTAATCCCACCCAGACCATCCTCTAACACGTGAATATTCCACCACAAACAAATGATGCATTCACATCATGCTTTTTTGGGTCCAAATTTTGGGGGTTTCTGTGTCCACGTTATTGGGGCAGCACTTGATGAAATTGCTGCCATAAAATACATGGCATTTTAGGGGTTTGATGGCATTGACAGTATTGCTATTCCAGACCTACACGGGAACTAGGACACTAAAGTGATCTACTTTCTGAGGAAAAATAATAATGAGGTCATGCAGCCTTATCAGCAGGACATTTCCTCGTCCATATTTAGCCAAATAGGGAATGCAGAAACTATGTATAAAAATAAATCAGTGTAACTAAGAAAAGCCAATCTGCATTTTTGGAGCAAACACGGAACTGGTGTCTCAGACAAGCACCTGGTACAAACCTCCCTCACCCAGAGGCTGCAGGAATCTCCCACAGCCCAGGGGGTCAGAACACCCCTGGGAATCTCTCCCTTTCCACCTCTGCTGTTAGAGAAGCCAAACTACACCAATTCCCAGATTCCCAGGGCCTGCAGAGTTAACAAAGACAGGAGGAAAACGAATATATTGCACAGATTCTGCCCAAGGGTAGAAAGCAAATCCCAAAAAACATTCCTTTGTTGAGCAGTTCAGGGAGACAGATGCTTCCTACACCACTTCCATTCTCCTGGAACAAAGTCAGCCAGGAAGCAGCAAAGAATCTTCACCAAGATGGTCCTTAATCCACTGCTTCCATAGCCATGGAATCAGACATTCCCAGAGCCCAGGGAGGATGGATTCTGACACGAACCTTTAGGATGAAAGGGCAAAACTGAGCAATGACTGAGGTTTGGGAAGGCAGAGGCTCACAAATGCACTAAATTTCTCCCTGGAAAGGGTGGTGAGGCCTTGGCAGGGGCTGCCCAGGGAGGTTTGGAGTGCCC